GCGGCGATCGCTAAGTCTCCACGAGTGGTACGCAAGAGGTGGTGCTGACGGAGCCCGGAGGAAGGTTTTATAGGGGAATGAGAGGAGGGAGCTGCCAAACAGGTATACTGCTCGTCACTGCAGGTGTGACCAGGCGTGGTGGGTCTTTTTGGTATTCGCTGTAACGGCCGTCGTTGCATATTTTGTTCAAGAGGCGTGTTGGCCATTGTTCGTGCCGTTCGTCATGTTCAATTAAGCCTCTTAATCTGAGGAGGAAGTGAAAGATGAATTTCTCTTTTGGTAGAAGTATGTGGGAATAATCTTTATAGAATAATTCACTCATAACAAAGACCAAAAATAAGATCCTTACAGAGATGAACCTTTCACCCTAATGTGTCTCACAGTTGGCATTTTGACCTGTTGACACAGGCTGAAGACAGGATGCCCAAAGTCAGGCGCAGGTCCAGCTTATGGGTGAAATGCAGACTCTTTCCCTTTAAAGGTGGTCTGTGGCTAACAGAGACCAGAAGTTAGCGTCTGCTCACATCTGTCTATGCGGTTTTTTCTATGGGCCGCATTTTGAATTTACTCAGGTGACTCATGGTGATTCTGCTCAGACACATCTGAAAACATTTGCCAGAAGTGTATGGTAGTTAAGCCATAAATGCAAATGCAGCTAAGATTAGGCTCGAATGCGTCGCCTGTACGGCTGTTAGTTAGTAACTGCTTCAGGTGTTACAGAGTGACAGACCTACAAACTTACCACAAGAATAAAAGGAGTCTCTCAAAATGATATATTATATATATATTAATCTAAAAAGTGAGTGTATTCCATATGAGGTATAAAAAGTGGTAAAACCCAGGGATAAGAGGGTTACCTGACCAGACAGGCTTCATTCTCTGAACAGAGGCGGAGCCAAGGGGTGGCCAAAGACTCGCAATCAGGGTGAAACCAGAAAACCTCTGATACAGTTCGCTTGGGAATGCATATGAATGGGGGCCTGTGGTAGGAGTGGGCGGACTGATCCAAACATTGATAGTATTAATGCAACGTTGCTACTGGCATCATATAGATGCGGATGGGATACTTCAGTTTCAGTTTTTCACTCCTTAGGTTCAGTATGTTGCTCCCCTTTCATCACAAAGTAGACGTGTCTGTGCAAACACAGCTCCTCTCATGCACATACGATTCTCCCCCGCGTTCTGTCATGTGACACCGTGTGCAAAGACACATGCGGGCTGCAGAGAGGAGCATCCGGCAGGAACATTTTACAGCTGTCGGTGAACACACAGCAAACTGCAATATGCGTGTGAGAAGGGAATTCTCTGCTGCTGCAAAACTGCCAGTTTGTACAAACGGATGAAAAACTGAAAAAGGCAACAACAAGCTGCAAAATAGAAATAAAACGTTCAAAGATCCCCAGCACAGACGCCGAGCCTCCTGGTAGAGAAAACCCAGATAGTTTATGGTGGTGAAAGTCATGTTTCAGTTATGACTCATGTGGGCTCAACAGCATTAGTAATTTTCAAAGTGTTGTTGGTCACGATAGCTGTTACTTCAGCTGACTGGTTACCAAGAGAGTACATTCAAAGACTGAAATAATGTAATCATCCTTTTGAAACATGTTAAATGATTTTATTGGAAGTGAAAAAATGTAATAACCCTTTTGTGTTAACTGTTAAGATGAATGTATTTACAGCACAACAATGATGCATTCACCTCATTAAGTTTGTTGTATCACTACTGGTACTTGGTATCAGTGATACTGGGCCAGTATTTA